ACGGTGTGGTACCGAGCATCTAATGAAATGCGTGATGAGTATGGACACGATTATAGCGACAAAGGTACTATTTGTTGTGCACAGGATTTTTATAAAGTATGGCAGGAAATTTTTCAGGCCAAGATAACTTATGATACGGAATTTAATCTACATTTAGCATTTTCCAGTGAAAGCATATACAACAGATATTCAACGAAAGATAGTAGCAAAGGACCCAACATGGGTTATCGATGCTTATTACGAAGCAATCGTTGCGAAACGGCCAAAACTTTTGTACCGAGTTGGCTGGGATGCCTTATTTCTGTAACTATTGCATTTACAGTAAGAGAAATAGTGGAAATCATGACAATAATAGTTAAGTATAAGATTGAAGTACAAAGTTTAACTTAGTTCGATGCAGTTAGACTTCTGATTCCACCTGAAAGACCTGAAATTCAATATTCAAAATGATCGTTTTAGTTGTTTTCCTCTTGCAGATTCTATTCGTATTCATTTCTTCCATTGCGCCTGCAACTTTATTTCATGCAGTTTCTCATGCAATTGCATGGAGCACCATTACCAGCGATAACGACGAAGAATGCACGTCCAGCGATTCCGAAATGGAAAAGCAAAGACAATTAACATTCCTGACAGATTTAAAAATAAGTTATTTTGCGTCAGCACATAGTTCCCGTCATTTTCCGTAATTCTACGTCATTTTTTTCAAGTCTTTTCCAATGGAAATTTCAATTTTATTAATTTTAATATGAAATGTACTTATCATGTATCAAAGCATTTGGCTACTTTTTTGTGTATGAGTTTCAGTTTGACCTTTTTAAAAAGGAATTCCGTCAATTTTTTGTTTCATAAATAATTACACTGAATGGTTCCTCTCTGTCACTTCGTTTCAAACTTGTGCTGAATTAAAAACTTTATTGTGAGAAACAGATTGAAAAAGAACTTTCGTCCTTTGTTCTCTGAAGTTTCAAGCTATTTATTAATAAAATTCAGTTTTATTCATATTTCATAGTTCATGATGTTTTATGCTAAATAAATGACAGACATTACGGAGGGATAAACCAAAGTGGTATCTATGATGAAGATCTCAAAGTACGATTCATATAGATATATTTCATCTATTGAAGCGTAAATATAAGAATACAAGCAATAAAACATCACTGAAAACTTCGCCAGTGGAATTTTATTGCCATTTAATTACTGACGACAATAAAAGTTTTTGTTTGCAATGTTAATTAATGAAAACATTGCAAACACAACAATAAAAATCATTTATTATACTGGTAACATCATAAATTAAAATTTGTAATGTATGTCAAAACATTGCGGACAGTATTCCCTTGATAACTTATTTTCTCCTAACACACCTCAATTCTTATTCTCTTTAAAAAACAATAATTCAAAGGTTGGATGAGGAAATGGAAGGAGATGAACTGAACAATTAGAAGTTTGAACTTGAAAAGAAGAAATTTGAAAATTAATCATAATGTTTATGGAAAAAAGAAAGTAAAACAGAACATAAAAAAAAGAATCACTACTACGAAATCGACAATTGTTTTTATTAATGATGAGATAGTGAACTTCAGTTTATCAAAATCCCGAACATTATTACTGTGATTTAAATGACATCATATCACTCCTTACTGTTTCCGGCATCAACGTTTCAAATTAGCTCATTTAGAACTTCATGAGATCAAACTGCACCCACAGTGCAGTTGAAAATCAAGTCAAGAATAAACGACAACTATCGCGGTAGTGAAAGTTCTTGATATACGACTAAAATATTAATCAGAAGTGATTTAAATTTCATTCTTGGGTATGTCTCTTAGATTTCCTAACAATGTGTTAAATTACTTCCACGTTGTCCTTGCAAATTTAATACCAACGTTATGATGCCCAACCAATTCCATGGGGAAACTTCGGCCATTTCGCAAAAATAGCTTCATGAAAAGCGTTAAGAGTCCCTGTTGTATCATTCGATAGTAATTTCATTTGTAAACACTTCATTTGTAAACGCTTTGGTTGAAGAATAGCTGATTACGACAGAACTGCTACAAATAAATGAAACCTCCAGTAACATTAATAGTATAAAGGAACCTTTCATATTCAAATCATTTCCATATTCATTAAGCATTTCCTGCAATGACCAGTCGTATGCAATATCTATCATATGATGCGTTTCCCGAATGATATGGAATCCAGCTGGAAACAATTCCGGACATAAGACTGCTACAACTACCCTATATAGTTTCAATTCATACCCCCAAATAATTCCTCAAATATTTTGGAACAACTAAAAGAATGCCTCTACAACTCTTGTGTCGGAATTTTAAGAGAAAAGTTTGATGCGGAACCTGTAAAAATGCAATGTTTGATGATATTAGCATAGGTTTGAACGGAACAAGAGTAATCATGATTAATCCCATAACTGTCTAGTTTATCAGTTGATTGATTATTTATAGTATATTTTCACAAAATACAAGGATCATAAACGGTACTGAAAATAACGTGGTTGTACTATAGCATATGACTATTCGACGCTTAAATAGTTTAAATTTCAAGCGGAAAAAGAGTAATCATGATTAATCCCATAACTGTCTAATTTGTCAGTTGATTGATTATTGGTATGAGGATTTCATTGGTAAGACGTCAATGAGCTTGTATTACTCGTATCACATCATACGTATTATTAACCATCCCACACTTTTATAATTGTCGCCGGTTCCCTTCAACCGTGACAAAAACTGAAAGTTCTTTCTGCCTTTTTAGTTGATAGTACCTCAAACTTGGGTAATTCAATCTTTATTACGATAAATTTATTAATGCAACAACGAACTTAGCAATTACGATATCGACACAACAAATTGATGCCGAAATTACTAGGAACAATAAAGACCAAATAACGTCTGATACCGTATATCCCAACTGACCTCGATGAACCATATTTGTAATATAACTTGGTGCTCAGGACCCTCCACTTCTTTTTGTGAGAAGGCCTTGTACCGTTTTTTATGATTACAAGAATTAGCATCCTTATGGAGCGCACATTGGTATAGTGTTCTTTGTTGGCGCAAACGTAAGACGATATGAGCATATAAAACAAAGATGTCTGGCTTTCAACAAAGTGGATTATTGTTCCTTTGTTTCCTCTCGCGAGATCAGCGACAATAATCTCCAAAATCAGAAAATTATCGTAAAATTGATTTCTTCATATACGTTAGCATTATTGATTACAGCGTGAAGAATTAAAACTGATCATTTGAAAATCTTTATCTCAAATCCTCATTGAATACCACTCGAAAGATATTCGTTTTCACTTTCATTTTCTTTTCTATTAATTAAAAAGCGACAATATTTTTCGATTTCAGTTTCATATGGCCGCTCATTTCAAATCTTTATTTTTCCGTCCCTTCTTGCATGATTCATTGCATATATGAAAAACAATTTGTACTAATATGACTTTCGAACATTTTCTGAATTTCAATCAGTTATAATTTGGCTTATTTTGATTTTGCTGAGTATAACTCACCATAATATGATTGAAAAATACCAGCCAATATTAATTTTATTTGCATCAGAAAGTTCAATTCATTTCATTTGAATTCAAACAAACCCATATTTAGCAAAATTTTCAAAGTAAGTTGAATTTAACGGAATAGCATAGCTAGGAAAAATAATGAAATGAGTTTTTCTAAACTTATTTTTCCTTCTGTACTCTTACGAAAATAATTTTATCAAATAATGAATCGTTCTATGCTAAACTAACCAACAGTGCCAAGAGTGTGAATCAAAGTTCTCTTCTTGAAGCGTAGTTTCGACAAACATTCCGAAATGTTGAATGCAATCTATTTGTGACATCCATTAAGAATGCATCTAATTGACCTTCAGGTAAGTGAGCTATAAAATTCTGCAAGCTCTTTGACACTCTACAACCACAACCTATGTGAGCACTTATTCTGTTTGATGGTAAACAATGAACCTTTCAAATTTTAAAATTTTTCCACTCCCACTTTATTCATCCATTCGATATTATATACACTCACTCATAAATGGAACTTCCTATCTTATGCGGTTCACATCAAAGTATGCATATAATTAACATCGAAAAGATATTAAATGCACAGTTAAGCAATTTACAATTTCAAATTGGTACTCAATCCGTTTTGAAAACATTGGCTCACCAAGGCTTTACCAAATCTTGAAAATTATTTCATTCTTTTACACTATCCTTTAAATTTTAAATTAACATTTCCTTCAATGCACCCCTTTAAGCCATCAAAGATAAACAATTTTTATGTATTTTAATCAGCGATCTAACTCCAAAATTATTTTGAACGCTGGATTAATACCGTCTTTCCGTGAATTTCATCAATTGTCAATTTACGGCCCAATAATTCGTAAATGACAGCCAGCAGTGGTAGTATAGTAAGTAAGTAAGCAAATAAGTAAGTAAATGTAAACGTAATTTCCCAGTGCTGCAAAGATATTAAGTCTTGCTATTAAATTCTGGCGCTAAAAATTGTCACACATTGTTGAGACACTTATCATTAGATCAGAAAAGAGTAATGCAGAATTAGATGGACAAGCGAAATCGAATGTATTCCTACCTCAATTTTTCCTTTTCCGACCATTCTTATCACTCTTGTAATTTGTATTTTCTAATAAAAGTTTGAAAAACATCTTTGATACGTTAAATAATTTATATTGTTGTTTTATAGTTGAAATCCCTATCCACTGCACTGCAAATTATTTTTGCATAAACAAATCAGAAATATATCTGAAATACTCCTAAGGCATCCAAGTTTTACTATTTATTAAGCATACATATGAATTCGATTTCATGATGACACAGCGGGTACTGTATCATCGTCTTGCACAGACATTTTCACCATAGGTAGAAGTGTTGTCCAATCGCCATTCGATCTGCAACATCGATAGTGGTCCACACATGTTGTCGAAGTATATGGCTAAAGAATATTTTTGTTTTTCCCAGGTATTCCATACATTGACAATATTTTGAAATTATTTAAGTGTGACGTTGAAATGATTCAAAATTTTGTTTCTTACCTCAACACATGACTTTTTTGCTTGACTTTTAATTTGCACATCAATTATATTTCTGGAATTCGCAGCGAATTACTACTCAATGAGATATTTATCGAACGAATTTCATTAAAAAAAAGAAAAATAATGAATGAAATTTAGGCAGAAATAGGTCCAGCTTTGAAGATGGAATATAAAAAGCATCAAGAGAATAATTTGTTGCATTAATATAGAAGCGACAGCGAAGTTATATGAACGAGGACGAGGTCACATGACAAGGTCATGCTTGAAGTACTTTCTGCTCTATTTATCACTTTTGGAAATAAGGAATGGAACAATTCATACAATTCTTGTTAACTTACATCGTTTTTTTTCATTTTCCAATAAAACTTTTTCGAATCATCACAATTTATATCAGTGCCTTATTTTGATTCCCAACAAAATTCTGCTTTTTTTTCAAGTAAATTTATCTTTATGTCCCTTTTCCTGAACAGCATTCCCTTACAAGTGGTGAATTTAGGCAACAGGAAAAAAGGAATTGATAAATTAATTTGTCCATGAGATTTACAACTGACCTTTGATTAAAAGGATTTACACTTTTAATATCGATATAATTGTTATAGAAATGGATGTGAGAAATTACGGGAAAACTTCGTGGAACTTTTTGTTTAATCCTCCAGTAAATTTCGACTCATTTCATATACCCTATGCCATATCACAATTACAACTTATGATTACTGGTAATGCTGATGATATTCGTTACTCATATTGCAGTTAATGATAATCATATTTTTATTACTCATACTGTGATTACGAAAAATGCAATTACTAATTACTTTGTAATTATTAAATTTTAATCATTGCACTCACTGAACTTTCATTATGTTTTTTTTTTCAATCACTACTTCCCATCCAGATAGCAATTTACTCATATCGGTTACTCTTTAATGGTTAAGGGTTCTTTCAGAAGAAATTAATTGCTAAAATTTAGGAATTTTGTATGTCCATGTGTCATCAGTTTTTCAAAATAAATAAATTTACAATGTTACTGCTCGTCGCAGAAATAATGTTTGGCTCCAATACTCAGTGGTACCAAAGCGTACCGCTTGTGTACCGCGGTGTCACCGAAGAAACCCTGCATTTAGGACACTTTCTTGCTCACATATTTTTCTTACAAATACTAGCAATTTTCGTAATTTTAAGGAAACGTTGCTTCAAGAGATGGTTTTGCATCTGTTGGATATGTTTGATGCCTGATCCGTTTTCTTTACAGAAAATAATAGATGAATCAATGGTGTTATGATTACAATTCGAAATTGAATTACATGCTTGGTGAAGATTTTCCCTTTAATTATTATGGGGTAAGCATAATTCTCTGTTACTCTAAACTGCTATCCTCTGTAAGTTAAAAGAAATAATTTTTAGTCTTGAAATGAGTGATGTGATTGTCGCCAAGTTTGCGACTTTGTTTACTGATGGAACTTTGCTGACTTTTACATCACAAATACTTTCTCACTCTTTTATCAAAATTTCAAGCATTGATGAAATAAGAAAGAAGATATTTTTCACATTTTTAACATGTATTTTTTTTTTCGTGTAGAATTTAATATAAACAAATGATATTATCCCTCACTTGTGTAGTAATTTTTCAATGAATAGTAAATGGAATTTTTAAAAATTGTATTAAAACTGTTACTTAAATTGTTAACGTAGACAATATAAGACAATTATCCCACTTGTTTCACTGTATCATCTATTTACTAAGGTCAAACTAAGGTCATGCTACTTTCTTATTATATTATCATCAAAAGGAATATAGGGTAAAGTTGTGAAGAGAGATATTTTGATAACACTCTAAAAAAAAAAACTTAAGATTCACACAATAATAATGCTTACAATGAAGTTTGTTGGAGCTCAAACTTTGAAAGCGAAAGGGGATGAAGGAATGAACTCTCCCTCTGTTGTTCCCTCCTCCAATGTTATCACAACACGACAACGCGGTCGATGAAGCATTTAACTACGATCGATAGATGAGAAAGAAGCATAGCTGGAGCAATTTCGACAACACTTGTAAATGGATGAATAGATGGCACTATACTATGTTTTTGCCATCTCTTTGACTTACTTTTTACATCCACAATTTACTGCTAGTAATTTTAGCTCTTTATTGTAAATATCCTTGTGTTTAAATGCTAGAAAATTCAAGACTTGGGAAGACGTAAACGTGAATGTGTGAACGTAAATGTGAACGCAATATTTTTATGACAACATACTGAATTCTTATATAATTAATTTTGGCATACAATAGACTTTCTTCGATATTTGTCATCTCTATCTGTGGAGAATGATTCATAATCGTCATCTAACTCTTATTGATAGCTTGTTATCTACAAAGCATGCATGGAAAAGATTAGTTAATCGGAAAATGTTTTTCCGATTAACTAATCCATCAGAAGGTATTAGTTTATTTTTTTCTCAACTCTCTTCATTCTCATCTTAAATTTCATTTCTCTTCAATTTTCGCGTTTCAAAAAACGATCCGTAAAAAACGATTCAAAAGTGTCAATAATATCGTATGACGAAGATATGATTGTCAATCAAATAATTCACGTCGTGCTAGCCACCTTGATTCTACCTATTTCATTACTTTTAGTTATAACGAGGACTTATGAAGTTCACATTTTTTATACCATTGGTAAACTTAATTACTTGAATGCCACTAAGATATGGTCATTGATTTACCGCTTCACAATGAAGGAATGTAGCTAATGATTACGCAAACAGAGTTATCTGTACAATAGAGCGTTCATTACGCACTTGCTATACTTCATATGATTTCGTGGATGTCACAAGATAAATATCGATGGATGTGTGTGTGTGTGTCAGCTTCGATTTATAACAATTTATTCTTTTATCATCATTTTTTCCTTCTGCACTTTATTTCATTTATTGTCGTGAAATTTGCATTTATCGATTAGACGGAGACAAGGATATATTGATAGAATTGGACACGACAAGACATTTGTAGCATGATAAAACTTATCTTTTGGTTGTAATCGATGGAGTCTTTGATATAGTTCGATAAAAAGTATCAGAGATAGCCAACATTAGCATTCATTTTTTTATCAATTGTCAAAGCAGTCATATTTGTAGAAAGTTAAATTTCTCCTCTTTTCATTAGTCAATTTCCTTGGCTCCTTGAGATGATAATTTTTAGAATTTGGAGAATAAACAAATTTTGTTCATTCATTTCAAATTTGATGTCATCCTCCTATTACTGAAAAGCATTCCGTAACAAATAAGCTAAATATTTCAAAAAAAAAGGATCATCGTTTTCTTTGCTTCCAAATGATTTTTGAATCATAGAAAAGAAACTGAATATATCTTGTGAAAAACACATGACATTCGGTTTCTTCTCTATAACTTAAACTTTTTCCGGTCGTAAATGACTTTTTCGACTTTATCGACTTTTTCCGGTCGTAAACAACTTTTCCGACCTTTTCCGGTCGTAAATGTAATGTTTAGATAATATTGGTTAGATGTCAAATATTATTCATTGTCATCTGAAGTGAACATCAGTTAAAATTTTTACAATCACCATCTCTTTACTTCGTTTCTTCCTTGTCAGTTAATTCTGTAACAAAACTAAAACAAAAGTAAAAACAGAGTTCAAGTGGATCGATAAATCGATGGCCAAAATTACTTTTTATAACTTTGGAGTTCTATGATTATTTTGGCATATCACTCATTATCAATTTCTCGTAGCTAACGTATTTATCTACGAACAATCAATTACTTGATTATTTATTTATTATAATTTCCTTTAAATGTAAAAAAAAAAAAAAAAACAACCCTTGGGATCATTGATCAACCATGATTGAAGAATTGAAATTATTTTTCTTTTCTTTTTTTCCCTTTACCAACTGTTGACAAATGGTAGAAAAGTATAAAAGTCCTAAAAAGAAGAGATAAGTGGAAAGAGAATGAAATGAAACGATTGAAGAACCCGTCTATAGAATAATTAAACCTTTTCCTGAACTATCAAATGAATTTCGGAATGTCTGTCATATGAAAGCATTTCCGAATTGAAATACCAAAGTACGAAAGTATTTGCAAATATCAAAAACAATTGCTTGCTTTTTTTTTTCTTTTTTCACTCTTACCATTCATTGTTTGAATTTATTTGCAGTCAAAATCACTTTTGTTTTCTTTTTAATATCTGCCGTTTCCATAGCAGCGATATGAGATGGAAATATAATAATTAAAAAATGTCAATCACATTTTATTATTCAATCATTTTTGTGTATCGAACTTTAATTCCTATTGTAAGTACTAATTTTTGTTGTTTATTTCTATCTCCCAGTTAGTGCTAAATTTCAAACAGTTCTATTTCTTTTCAGAAAATTATCAAACAAATATAACTACAATAAGCTATCAAAAGATAACGCAATACAAAAATTCTGACTTAACTTCTATGATAATACGATTGAACAAGAAATGATAATACGATATGATAATATGATTGAACAAGAAATGAGTTGAGTCTTATTGGATATCAGTATATGATCCTTCAATCTTTCCCATTGCTTTATGTGAAAAGCGAGGATTTTTCAGTAAGTGTGAAAATTTTACAAACGAAAAATTAATTGAAGGGAGAGGGTGATAATGATAATAATGATAATGATGGTAATGATGATAACGTGATAGCAATGAATGTATAGCATGGAATGGTGTTATGCATGAATTTGCATGCATGGAACCATTCTAGAGGAAAAACTTAACCGGAAGCCCTTTTGTGCCACATGCATCATTCATTATCGATTGGTTTATGCAAATGATGCTAGTCAAATCGAAAGGTTTAGATGTGTAAATGAAATGGTAGGAAGAAGCGCAAATGGATGGTGAATGCTTGTGCGCTAATTGTTCTTTGGTATAAATGGTTTTTGGATAGAACGAAGAAGTCGGTGACAAGTTGTGTCATTTCTCAGGTATGACAACGAAGTGTAGTAACATTATTATTAATTACAAAATGGGAAAAGATTAGCATAAGTTATTTATCAGCACTATTTTTCCATTTATAAAAGGGGGAGAAAGAGAGAGAGAGAGAGAAAGAGAATAGAAGAGATTGTATTATAAATGATAATGGATCTTTTTTGTTCCATTTCAACTAAATGCAAAATTTTGCAAGAAGGAAGGGAGAGGAAGAGGGAGAAAAAATAAAAATTGTTTAAACTGTCAATGTGCAAACATTCGAACTGTTAATGTACCAAACAGACAAAGCGCTTTTTTTTTTTTATTTTTTCTTTGTTATCAATTTTGCAAATATAATAATGCTTTTCATCCTTTTTGATATATCTTATCAAGGCGATATAATTTTATATATACATAGCAATAGATAAGTGATATTAGAAGATTTGGAAAGAGCTGCTCCAAACAGCCACAAATGTGGGATATATCCTATCTATCCTTTCAGCCTGCGTAGTGGATTTTTTTAGATAAGGCACAATATATGTGGAACCTTTACTCTCATGTCATCTATTAGGATGATGACAGTAAAATTATTTAGATTCAAGGTTTTATTAGAAGCCTTCTCTGAAATGGATAGCTTTATAGAGTTAAGCGAGTTTAGAGTTAGAGTTATCCTTTTTCTAAGATGGTTACCGAGAGGCTAACGCACTCATCCTATCCGTGAGCACACTTTCTCTGACCCTTTCACCTCTCATGAAAGATCCCACAGGAAGGTATAATATGTCATGTCACCATCAGTATAGCTCGTAAACCTCATTAGGGTATGCAGGCTTTTCCCCTGTGATAGAGAGTGTCTGTGGAAAATCTTTCACAATACCGTTTCCATATTATTAGATGTAGAAGAAGAAGAAGCTCTTCCAATATCATCGTCCATCCCTAGTGAAATTCATTTGTCATATCATTTTATATGTATACATTATTTTGTTGATAAATGTACACACAGATAGAGACATATATTTATAGGAAGTCTATTGAAGTTATCGGTTAAATGATAATAATACTATTCCAGTGAGATCAAAAAACTGAAAGAGAAATATGGAATGAAAGCGAAATGGTTTATTCATTTTTTCTTGCAAATTATTTAATTTGTCGAATAAAATTTTCCTACTTTCTACTTTGAATTAAGTGAGGATAGTAACCTTTCAAGCATCTCTTTATCTCTGTAATTTTTACTACTTTATACTAATTCCTTTTTTTTTCGAAACTGTAATTTTATCCGAAATATCCTTAATTTTATTCATTTCGTTTATTTTTATTTTTAAGGATATTGCTGCTTATATTATTGCCATCGGATTATTGTACATACTAAAAAAAAATTTTTTTGCATGCGCAGTTGTCTTGTTTACCATGATGTAATATCAAAATGTTAGATATGCTTGAACTTTTTGCGCCATATGCTTGAAATATATACGGGCGCATAAAAAAGTTTTGCTTCTAATATGTACAGTATGCTTAATATTTAGTTTTTTCTTTCTTTTTTTTGTGAAAAAAAAGATATTTTAGGAATTTAATTACAGTATATAAACAGGATACCCAGCGTGTTTTTATGACAATACATCTAATTAATGAAAGTTATTGATTAAATGGAGAAGTAGAATAAGTAGAGATTATTTAGAAACCTTCAAAGGAT